AAGGACTCAGACATTCTCTCTTTGCCACGTCTACTGAGGATGCAGACCATTCTCAGCAATCAGACTGTCAACATTCGAGAAAATGTCAGTATCACTCTGAAAGGATGCACAGTTGTTCCCAAGAAGAACCCTGTGGAGGAATTCATGAGATTAATATAGAACTCAGTCTCCTTGGATAGAAAGAGGCTTCAGGTTGGCAAACAGTGGGGAAATAGAAAGGAACCAGCAACAGTAGGCAGAATGTGTATCACGTACAGAACACGATTCAAGGACGTTGCCCTGGACTTCCCAATAAAACACAAGGTCTGTGTATGTTCACTTCCCCATCAATGTCATTATTCAGGACAACAGATCTTTTGTTGAAAACCAAAATTTCTTGGGGGAAAAAAACATCCTCAGGGTTTAGATGAGGCCAGTTGATTGTTCAGTATCTCAGGCCCAGATACTTGTCCTGAAGGAAATGACATGGAAATGTATCAAATTCATCTGCTTTGATTCAGCAAACCACAACAGTTAAACTAAGATTATCAGAAACTTTCAGGAGGGTATCTGTCTCTGAAAAAGGAACAGTTCAGCGGGTTGATGAAGATTTAAGAGTTACCCAGCTATAGAAACAATATTCCTAAAACCCCATTTGTGATATTGTAATCCACAGCATAGTGATTATTGTCAAAAACACTGTATTATATACTTCAGAGTTGCTAAGAGACTAATCTTACATGTTCTCACCACAAAAAAGAAATGATGATTATGGAACATGATACAGGTGTCAGCTTAAGCAACAGTGGTAAACATATTTCAATGTATAAATGTATCAGATCATGTTGTATGCCTTAAACTTACACAATGTTATATGTTAATTATATTTTAATAAAAATAAATTTTAAAAAGAAATAAATTATCATGGAACTGTACACTTTAAATGGATGAATTTGTGGTCTGTGATTTATATCTCAATAAAGCTGTTATGAAAATTTATTTAAATTTTTAAAAAATGCAATAAAAATAAAGGCCCTCTATTGATAAGAAGGAAGGAAAGAAAAAAAGGAAAGGAAGGAGGGAGGGAGGGAGAAAGGATGGAAATGTGAAAGGAAGGAAAAAGAAAAAAGAAAAGATAAAGTATCCATTGGATTTAGCAATAAGCCTCTCTTCAGCATCCACATACAGAGCCATTTCTGTAGCATGGTTAGGGAAAAGTCAGAACACACAAGAGATTAAACTAGCCAAGGTAGATTATTTTTAGCTTCAATTTATGCTTTCTGCCTGAAAAGGTAAATCATAGATGTCCTTTATAACAAAGGTATAACCTAGCCCAGTACTTCTCAGACTTTCCACCAAAATTTCCTTACTGCAAAGGGGTATGAGTATCTGCATGTCCAGAGATAGAAAATCCTGCAACTCCAAAATTTATCTGTATTTATCTTACTAATCTTCCAAATTTGTGTTTGTTATAGTATGAAAATAATGGTTTTCCTACTCCAAAAATTTTTTTGAGGAAAACTCACACTTCCAGGAAAATGTAAGATGTTTAGACTGTGGTTCCAGGGACTTCTGGGGGGGCACATATGAATCCTAGTTTGAGAAGAAGGTGTAGGAAAATTCACACTTCTTTTAATTAGTTCCCTCAGATTGTGTCATAGTGTAATGATGCAAAGGATGGAACTCAACTAAAAGAGGCAGTGTTGACCTGCAGAATGGACACTGGACTAAGACTAGAAATTAGGTTCCCGTCTTGGCTCAGCATGAACTGGAAGTGGACGTTTGGGTAAGTCGCTTAAAGCCTCAGTTTCTTCTTCTGTGGAGTAGAGGAGTTGATTTGCATGCACATTAAATTTCTTTCAAGTCTAAATTCTCTTCTCTGTTTGCCAATGGGAATATTAAGTAGGCAAAAAGGAAAAAAAATAGATACGAGTTAACATGCTTTCAGTCGTTGCTAAATGCAACTAATGTTCAAGAGTCTGGAAATATGTTCAAAGAGTAGCAACTTTCCTAGTAGGATGCAGCTTAAGTGTGCTTTATTCTGCTAAAAGTTTTCCTGAAAATGGGCCGCCATCCACATGTCATTGAAGAAAATATGCCTCAAAACAAAGAAAGTGGCATAGTTTCTATTTTTTTTACATGTAGAACATTCTTCAAACTCACAGAAGCCAAACTTCTTTTATTCAGTTAACAAATGTTTATTTTTAAAATGTACTATTTAATTAAATACAGTATACCTTATGGGAAATGCAGAAATGAATGTGACACAAGTACTACACTCAAAGAGTTTACTATATTGAAGAAGAAAGAGAAGTACACAGCTCTAAAAAAAGGCAGAATAAAATAAATGTCATGATGGAGATACAAGCCATGTGCTCAAGGAGTGAGTGGTTTTGACCAGGGTCTCTTGATGGAGAAGACAGAATTTTTTGCTTAGTCTAACAGAATAGTTTTCTGCTGGCAAAGAAAGGATAATGCTCACTTCTGGCTGATGGAACAATTGGAGCAGAGAAAAAAAGACATGAAAATGCATTGTATTTACAAGAATCGGTGAGTAAAGCAGTGAGGCTTAGGTAGAAAGGAAATTTCTAAAGGTAAACTCAAAAAGTGGGGTTGGGTCAGATCACAAAAGCCCTTAAACTTGAATTCAGTGGTGTCCAAAGTACAGCGAAATTCTCTGAGGAAGTTAAAAACGATTCACAGGGGCATGAAAAAATATACTGTACCTTCTATTTGTATTTTATTCTCTTTCCCTTCAAATTCATATTTCTGTACATGTGTATACTATATACTAGCATACTTAGTGAATGCAAGTATTTTATAAATAAATAGATACATCTAATATATTGGATGCACAAATTTTTTTATTGATAAGTGTACATAATCAAAAAATTTAAGAACACTGCTATAGACAGGTGGGAACTATTTTAGTTTTTGAGCAAAGAGTACTGTGACTCAACCTGTGTCAGAGGAAGACAACCACAGCAGAAGGGTAAAGAAGAGATTCAAGGTAGGAAACTTGAGACAGCTCGATCAGGAGCTAAGAGACCGGGCTGAAATCCTGGCTTTGCCATGCAGCAAGTGTGTAATCTTACTTAAGAAATTCTCCAACTGCAAGCAGAAACAATGATAACAGAATTTTAAGAGTCTGAAGTGAGATGAATATATGGAAATATCCAGCCCAGTGATGAGTTACAGTAGATGCTTCAGGGATGTTCGCTGAATTTGAATCTGATGTTCTAACACACATTAGGAGATTCATGCAAATGGCCAATTACAAGATGATGATAGGCTAAGAATACAGAAGGACTAGAAAACTGCAGTAACATCGCATCGGTTTATGAAGAATTAACAAAATCTGTTCACTGACTAGGTGTGAAAATGGGGGAGAAAGAAAAGCCAGTTTGGCTCTGAGGGTTCTTGCATGGATGCATGGAAAGATGGACATTCTATTTATGACGTCAGAATACGGAAAAAGAAGCAGCTGAAAGTACATGTCAGTCTGGTGAATGCTGAGTTGGAGTTACTGGCAAAACATGGAGTTTATTTGGTTTATAAATTTAGACCAAGAATTCAGAGGGGATATCTGGGCTGTGTCTAGAATGAAGCTGTTCTGTGGGTAACGAGGCCATTAGCTGAACCTCCTGGCCCAAGAGCAAGTCATCTAAAAATTGTGGAATGTACTATCCCCAGGTAGTTAACTTGCTTCTTGTGGTCAAAAGCGCTGTGTGTAGAGAGTCTGATTAAATTCTAGGTAACTTCAACCCCATTTCTAATGTTTTGCAGACACAGCCTTATGTACACAGACATAGAGTGTCTTTCATTTATTCATGTGGAGCTTGTCTGGGGCCTGATGGTGAGACACAGTTATTTTATCCCATCTCCAGGCAGGGACGCAAGCTTTAATTCTCATAAAAATTACTCCTGGTGCTTGCTATAAATGCAGATCGCTTACCTGAAATATTCTGATTCGGCAGGAATTTGCATTTTTAATAAGTACATTATTTAAAGTAGGCTCCCTGGAAAAGAGGATACTACATATTTCCACCATGTACATGGACTTTTCTTTTTGTCATGACAGCAGCAATCAGGAGGTCAAATAGATCAGCAAGGAAAGGTAATTTCTATTGCCCATGTAGAAACTGTAGTATACGGAGTTGAACAGAAACCAGAAGAGATCTGCTAGAATTAGGAATCACTGCAACTGACTTGAACCATCTTTGAGTACCTGTGACGATGACTGCAGTGATTCTAAAGGAGTGGGAGAATTTTACCACAACTGTTTTGAGGTAATAAAGAACTATTCTGTTGGAGCTGAATCCATCCTTTGCCTGTTTTATGGCATTCCAATTCCAGAAAAACTGTAAAATAAACATGTATTTACAGCCCAATGACTCTTGTCCTTGGGTTTATTACAATGGCATTATTTATTGAGGACATTGGTCATCATGTCCTCTCTTTGAGGACCCTATGGACAAACTTCTTTCTAGTCTTAGTATTAGGAATTAGAATTAGAAATGCTTTTTCTAGGAGTGCCATCGATCTTAATCTTATATAAAATCCAAATTATCCAATTTGACCAGATTCCCTTTTGCAGATTGCCTGCTAGACCGCTCAGAGCCAAATTAAAGGTTTCTTATGGTAGGAATATGCTTTCTGTAACACGATGAGATGTAAATTAATAAACATTTGCATATTACCCTTAGAATTCCTAAAGGATATCACATCTATCTTATTATATCTTTATAAGAGTTATTCCCATTATTTTAATAGATGGAAGATTGAGACTCAGAGCGACTAAAGGATTTGCCTGAGATTACACAGCAAGTAATTGGGAACCTAGAATCCTAACACACAAATTCTGACTCCAAATCCAGTTGTTGTTGTTTTTCTTTTTCTGCTGGCTTTACAACAAAGAAAAGTCATCTTATTTGTCTTCAATTTATGGAAGTGTGTGTGTGTGTGTCTGTGTGTGTGCGCGCGCGCGTGTATGTATTTCTATTTAATCGGCACACCAATTGTGAAAAAGAATTGCTTTTATTTACCCAAAGCTTCCACAGATCTAAGATTCTCAGAGGTTTCTGGACTTTCCAAAGGTCAATCAGCACAAATCAAAGAGATCAGACACAAATCTAAAATTCATAACACCCAAGTCTGAGCGTTCCCTTAAGCTATTTCTAACGTGTAATCTGCTACACTCGGGGGTAGACTGATAGACCCTCTGATCACTATTATTACCAAGGTGAAACTAAGAACTGAAACACCAAAATTCTTCTAATTTAATAATTTTATATTTGTTATAATAAAAAATTTAGAAGATATGAAACCATATCCATCTCCTAGTGGGAACAATAAATGTGCATTGTGCAGAGTTTAGGAAAAGGTAGATAAGGGAGAGATTCCAAGAACACCAGAAACAGAAGCAGCACACCAGAGTTCGAGGACAGACAGTCAGGAGGCAGCAACTTTGATACCCAGCCTTGTCACCCGCACAGTTCTGCCCAAGGAGGGCCTCAGAAACGAGACGCTGTTTCACTATGCCTGTCCCTCTGCTTCTTTTCTGTGAAATGAGAAAATGAAAAAAAGTTAAACATATGTGTCTCCAGTGGTGTGTTAATTCGTCAAGAGCCTCAGTTCCCTCTTAATGTGTTATTTTTCTTAAAGTAATTATCTGAGAAAAAGGAGTCACTGGAAAATTTTTCAGCATTTTAACGGCATGCCCCCAAAATATGTGCATTGTACAGGCTTTTCGTTCTACCCGTCCTAGCTCATCGGAGCTGCAAGTCGTGTTTCCAAGCAGATTGTCATTATAGATGGTGCTGGGGTATGAATGTGGAGTAAGTGGAAATGCAAGGCGAATCTGTCTGGCCCAACAAAGACAAATGTCCCAGCAGCACTGCCATATTTCACAGGGCATAGTGTTGACTGTAGATCTGCTGACATGATAAATTTTATGGCCAAATGTGGTGGCATTTCACAACCCCGGGTCTACTGAGGATGGTTGGTCCTTCTCTGATAGGGTCAATTGTGATAAGTTGCTTTATTGAACTCCTCATGAAATCTGACATTTCAGGTTAGCCAAATTCTCTTGGATGTGCCTGTCCCGTTTAGCCTCAAGACATTTGCCAGAGGAAGTTTTCTAGTTGGAAGGATGAAATGGTACCAGATCTGCTCTTCTCGCCTTTCTTATTATTTTGTCAGCAATGAAGAGGAAGGTTGCAGAATCTCTCTCCTGGGAATACTGTGGACAGACAGTCTTTGGGAGTGTCAAGAGGTGGAGGGTGTTGTCCGGGAGAAAAGAGAAATAAGACCACCTGTTCAAGCCCCTGCATCTTTCATTAATTCCCCTGGCGTGGAGCCGCCACTCAGTTTTTCTTTGGGGTTATTTTTTCTCACACAGAGAAACCTGAGCAGCCAATGAACTGATGCTGTGCATTCCTCAAAGGAAACTGTCACTCAACCAGAGCAAGCAAGAATGATTTTTTCATTCACAGAATAACTTAAGTGTCTTGTGTAAGGAAAGAAAGTTTGAAAATTTTGTGGGCTACCCTGTTTCTCCAGCTTTTCAAGACTGGTTTGTGAATGGCAGCAATAGTGAAAGCACATGGTGCCTGCGGGCTAATGTCCCCATAACTGTCTCCAATTAACTCTGCCTTGCACACAAGAGCACAAACTGTCACGGTTCAGGCTCTGTCACAAAGTAATTGTGACCCCGGGCAAACCATTGAACTTCTCCAGGCCGTGGGTTTCTCACTTGTAAAGTGAGGCTTGTTATGCTCCAGGATCCCCAAATTCCCTTCCACAGCAAAGCTTCTAGTAGGTAGTACAACAAAGTGCCTAAGAACAGACCCTGGAATCAAGACGGTCTGAGTTCAAAACCTGGATCCATCACACAAGAGCTGAGTGACCTTGAGCAATTCATTTAATCTCTCTAAGCTCCATTTTCCTCATCTGTAAAATGGGGATGATATTATCACCCACCTCTTAGGGCTGAGATGAGAATTAAGTCACTAAATATAGGTAAAGTACTCATATTCACGAATGGAAGACAGTGAGTTTTCAATGCATGTTAGCTATTATTCTACTGATTCTATGTTGCTGACATTCAGAAAATGGTGACCAGTCCAGCACATTTTTCAGTGACTACGTTTTTTTTCATTTTACTAAATAAACTAATCAACATTTTTTGATGACCTCACCTTCACCTCTAACTGGACTCCTACATGGGGGCAACTTTTTTTCGATAAACAATAGGGACAGATTGTGCAGTATTAATCACTATATTTCTATTTCCTTTATCAGTTCATGTCACAACCATACTCACAAATGTTAATGTCTTGTACTCCTCTCTCTCTTTCATAAGACCCACCACTACCTCCTTCCCCAGTGAACACACACAAGCACGCACACACATGCCAACCTTAAACATTACACTAATCAGTTTCAACTGATCGGTATTTCTACACAATGTCCTTTTTTTCCCATTCCTATTACAATTGTATATGGGATGCATTTAATAAAGCTTCACTGATGATGATGATGTGACTAAATATGAGGATAATGGTCATAGATTAATAAATTGTACTTACTATTTCCAAAGTATATACACAAGTCATATATGCTTTATTCATTCACACAGCAAAAATTTTTGAGAGCCTACCAAATATCAGGTCCAGCAAAGGCTCTGCTGGGCCTAAATAATGTAACACACCAAAATCTTGTCTAAGTTTAAACTCAGGCAAATGTTCAATTATCATCCTACTGCCAAGCCACAGAGTGTTCATTTTGTAAGCAAACAATTACATGTAGAAAACAATTTAAAGTCACTAACTGTGTTCCCCGTTTAGGATTTTGTCTTAGTCTATAGAGACATCTTTCTAGCTGTGACTTCTTCATCTGCATACTAAGGGGTCTGACTAGACAGCCTCAAAGGTCAGTTCCTGCTCTGATATTCTATAGAACAAAGGCAAAAACAGCTCCCTGTGACTAGGGCTCAAGAAAAGAACAGCCTGAAAATTCAACACGTTCTAAAATATTGATTAGAAGGATGTGAACGAAATTGATTATTTCACGGCGGTCAGCTTGTGGATGAATTTTATTATTACTCGAAAAGTAATGGTCCCTGTCTCTCCTCTTACTTTCTTTCCTATTTGGTTGCACTATTATTATATAGGCTGCCAAAAAAAGTAAAATGTGGTCAACTTTCCTGGAACACTATGTCTGGAGAAGTTCTGAGGGGATCCTCCTGGCTCCTGATTAATTGATGGGTCATTTAAGCAACAAGTGACATATAATGGGAAAATCATAGGCTTTAGTCCAAAGATTGTATTTGAAGTCCCACTTTCTTCCTTTGACTTTATTATATCCAACCGTGGACAATTCACATTTCCTCTCTAAGTTTCAGGTTCAATATCTAATAAAACACAGGCCTTCACAATTGGCAGGCATGACCCTAGGCTGGGTGTCTATCTCCATCCATTCATGCAAGATAGATGTTTTTAGGCCTTATTTTCCAGATGAGAATTCAGGGGCTCAATGAGGTTAAAAGTGATCATATAGGTGAAAATGTGTTATAAATACCAAAATTCTATATGTATTTTGTTATAGTTGTTATTACTGTTAGATCACCCCATCCAAATATTAGGGTTTTATGCCTGGCTGATTACTAAAATTCAGACAAAATTAATTGTGATAATGAGTAAATGTTTTTGTTCTTCTCGATTGGAAATACAGGGAAAAAAATCAAGGGGAGAGAGGCACTTGCTCTTTCCACTAAACTGAGCAGTAAAAGGAATGGTCTAGGACTGGCTAATTCACCAGTGGGTATCTGTAGCATGTAGGACAGTGCCTGGCATATAGCAGGAGTGAAGTAGCATAAAATCCTTCTAAAGAGTGGTGTGAGTCCAACTGTTCACTTTAAAAAAAAAATGCCTGGTCACATTATTGCAAGATTAATAAAATGCCCACACAGTTTGCTAGCTGAGAGCTGTGGCGTGTGTAATCCAAATGCATGTAGTCCCATGACTGTGGCTTGGATATACCTCATAGTTATCTGCTCTGCTTTAAATATTGACTCTGGCTCCTCTGACTGGCTGAGATTTCCAGGACGGCAACAATAATTACAGGCATCGCCTTGTGCCTTTTTGACCCAAATCCAGGTACAGATGGGGGAACACTGGAAATATGAGGACCCAGCCTTCATAATTTCCAAGAAAAAAATGTCCCTCCTATTTCTTCACCTGAACCCTCCCCCCTCTTTCTACACAGTTTCCTCTCCTCACCTCCCTTAGACAATAAGAACTTTAATCAGGTTCTGGGCAGAGAACCAACATCAATTACCAACCACTAATCACAGTGTTTTACTGTGTTTTACTTTTGGTAAATACATATCCAGAAGGATGACTTAGAAAAACGAAGGTATAGTTATAGCATATTTAACAGAATAAATGAAACTAGTATGTATGTGGCAAAGGAGGTTCCTTACAAGATTTGATTTTTTTTTCAAATAAGAGAAGTGAGAAAGAGATCAAAGGAGAGTTTTCAGAAAAAAAAGAAACAGAAAGACATCCATACTGATGACTGACCCAGCTGTGTCTGCCTCTAAAGGCAGGCCACATTTTGAGAAGGCAGAAGATCCACAGACAAAAAAGAAAGAAAAAAAAACCAAAAAGCAATTTTTAAATCCTCACTTTCCACTAGGAAATCAGTTACTTTTCCATGAATACTAACCAACCACCCTACTTTTACAGCGTATCTAAGATAGAATCTATTTGGGGGTCAGTTAATTGGACCAACCTGCTCTTCATAATAAGCATGAGATTTACACAATGTTTTACACTCCGAATTTGAAAAAAAAAAAACCTTCCCATACCTGCCCCATCAAATTACACAGGCTACCATCTTAGCTTATCAGATTTATGACCTGTGAGCTTCCAGACCACTAGGCAGCTGTCTTGATTTTCCCTAGGTCCACAGCAACGATGGTTGAGAACAAATTCACAAGTGCTAGTTCTGAAATACTACAGTGGCCTCATGAGACTAGAGCAAGAAAAGTCATTTGTTGTATAACCCTTTGTCTCAAAAACATATAAACTGTGCTTTGGCCTCTAATGGGAGGAACAGTCCTCAGAGCTTTCTGAAAGACTGTCTCCCAAGTTATAATCCTCAGGTTGGCATGAATAAAATTTTCCATTTCTTAGATCGACTATGAGTTATACACTAACATTATCCCATTGTACAGATGAGGAAGCTAAGCCTCAGTGGGGTTAAATACCTTGTCCTAGGTTGCACAGCTAACAGTAAGTATATGAGACCAGATTCAACCCAGTAATCCAGCTCTTAAGCACTGTGTGTTATCGTTTCAATTGAAATATGCTTATTTAACTTTGTATTTCTTTTCCCAGAGGCAGAAATTTAAGTCTCCAGCCTGTACTATAACTTGAATACAATGAGAACATGTTTACATTTCTATTGGAGCCCCCATTTGTACTCCTTACAGTAGGTAATATTGCATAGTGTTTCATGTATCCTGACTTTGGTACTAAGTTATCTGGATTCAGTTATAGGTTCATCTCTTTGCTAACTTTCTGAACTTGACACGTTATTTAAAATCTCTGGGTCTTGGTTTTCTCATCTTAATTCAGCACAGTGAGAGTAACTACCTTACAGGATTCTGTAAGAATAAAATTACATAATAGACAAAATACTGGGACAACATCTAGCACAAATTAAGTTCTCAGTAATTTGGAAATTATCTTTTCCTTCTATCTCTTATATTGTACCCATCATAATTTCCTGTCTTTCCTTTAGATTATTAACTCCACAAGGCAGGAACAATATCGTTTTCATCTCTGCAGCTCTAATGCCAGCAGTCTGAAACATAGTAAGAGCACATTAAATGTTTGAGATGGATGAATAAACAAGGCCTTTTCAATGGACCAGCTAACATCTTACCTCAGGTGAGGCTTTCAGCCTAGAAACGGATCACAGATGTTCTCTGTTAATTTTCAGAGTGTAAGTCACCACATTCACAGCAGTAAGCTGCAGATGGCAAAGGCATCAAAAACGTCCCACAAACAAATTGACACAACATTGTAAACTGTCTATACTTCAATAAAAATACATATATAAATGTAAAACAATAAAATATGTCAAGACTTTTTTAAAAAGAACAAACAAGGGGGGGGGCGTCTGTGTTTCTAGCGCCTTATACATCTTCAACAACTCTACTTTATGTCATTCCACAGAAGCTAGTGAGAAGTAATGAGGACAAATGACCCAGAAATTCTCTTGAATTCAGAATAATCTCACTGTGGGTCAAAGCATAAGCATATGTGGGTAGTTTGCAGCAGTAGTAGTTTATAGTCTGTAGTCCCATGTAGGTGTTTTTTCATTCCCTTCTCCCTTTTAATTAACCATTTGGTCGTATGGCCCATCCCACCTTCCTTCTCCCTCTCATCCTCAGAACACAGTCCACATATGCGCTGAAAGAAGGATCTGCAATACATGCCATATTAGCCTCAATGGAAGGCCTTGTATTTGAACATTTATTTAGTTCTAAGAGAAAAAAAATGAACCAGAAAACGTAATAGCACAGCACTGTACCATATACCAAAAAAAGAGTGGGGGGGGGGGGAGTCGGCCTCTTGGTACCCTTAGGAATTCAGTACCGCAAACATGGAGTGATACCACTCGTGTTTGAAGTTCAGCTCTATTATTTGCTACCTGTGCCTCTTTTTCATGACACAAGTCACTTCTTTGAGCATCTGTTTCCTCATCATTGTGAAGAGATAACAGTACTTTTCACACTGGCTTTTTGTCAGAATTAAATGAAATAATTATGTAAAACATTTTCACAATGTCTGGCTTGAAATGAGCTATTATTAATATTATTATTACATACGCATCAGGCCCTGGGAATATATAGAGAGACGAAATAAGACACTTGAATTTCCAAGCACATAAATAGTAACAGAAAAATACAGATGAGAGAACAAAAGAGGAAGGAGGCAACATTCTTGTCGCTCTCATTTTACAAATGTGGAAACTGAGGCTTAGAGAAGTTAGCAACTGGCAGTAGGTTAACGTCCTTCAAATTAATTCAGTAAAATTCAGCTCCCTAAAATCTAATTTGTTCTATCTATCAAATTCGCCAGTCTAATAAAATTGATTTTTACGGTTTGAATAGATGAGGAAACTGAAAATCAAGCAGGAATATTTTAAAAGCTTACAAGGAAGGCTGAATTTTGACTTCTGCTAATAAGATTTTTCTAGCAAAACAGAAATGTCAGCATTTATTATGGAAATCTCTGTTTCTACCGATTTCTAAACTTCATGTTAACATTATTTCTGTTTTATCAGATTTTAGCAATTTTAGCATTTTTAAGTCTATTTCTAAAATTCTTCTCTCACATTTTCTGAGTCATGGTCAAGGTATTAGAGGTACTAACCATATCATGACCAAAATATTCTGAACAGTCCCACTTCCTTTACACTATTTGAACTTTTTAATCCTTTTATGTCTGGTATTTCAATTGGACTATCCCAATTATTTCTTATCAGCAAACAGAGTTTCCGCATTTCCTAGGCGATGAGATTTCTTTAGGTTATTTTATTTCTTCAAGATGCTTTTGGATTTAAGTTTAAATTCTCAATTTAATTTAAATACTTAATGTAATTACACCTACTTTAAATACTGAAAATTGGACTCAATCTAAAATAAAGATTAAATTCCATTTTAAGCTGAAATTCAATTTAAAATTAAAATTCAATTTAATATAAAATTGTGACTATTTCACATGCTTTTGAATTTAAATTTAAATTTTAAATGGCTACAGATACAAACGGAAAGTTCATATGTTGGCAACAGGATATTAAAAATGCTTAAAGTTTAAAAAAGTACAAAACAACACTCAAAAGCATCCAAATTCAAATCCAAAAGAAGGAGCAGAAACCAATCTAAAATGCACGAAAAAAGTTTCCAATGTTGGTTGGAAAATAGCATTTCTTTTAAGAAATTTATTTTAAAAATTCTTTGCCCATTTTCTCAGCCTATCAACTTTAGTGTAATTCATATTCTTGTAAACCTTACAAACATTTACGTAAATTTGGCAAAAACTGGTTATTTGTTTGACAGATCATCTGAAGAACTGACTTGCCTCCTAGATAACTTTCCCAATGTCACACACATACTGGGATCCAGCACTGGAGCCAAAATCTGCCTCAAACACTGATACTGCTTCTTTCTGTACAACACTTCAGAGAATATGAGGGGCAAAGAAACTCAAATGGAAAGTCTACTTTAGCAAGTTTCATGGATTACCAGATGCCAGGCAAAGTGATTTTTAGTTTTGACGACATAATCAGAAAAATTAAGCAATACGTTCTGGGTTATTCCTGACATTTCATGTGAAAAGGCCAACCTCCCCTCAGTGTCCTCCACGTTCTCAGCTAAATATTATTTCCCAAACAACCTTCTAATCAAAGAAGAAGTGAGTTCCATCTTCTGGTTTCCCAGTATTTTATCAGAAACTATATTACTTACCTGTTCACACAAACAGACTCTGAAATATGCCATAATATTTTTTAGTGTCATTTTTACTCCTTAAAGGAGTTGGTGAAATTCTCTTTTAGGAGAAAAGCAAGATGATACTGACGAAAGAAAAAAAAAAAACCCATATTTTGATAGGTAGCCCAAGAAACAGAAAAACAAACAATAGTTGCCTTTTTCTTCCAAAATTTAACAGATTTGTCTCACTATTTTGAACATATGGTTCCTGTTTGGGAAACTCCTTGTCACCAATGTTTGTGATAAAATGTCACTAAAATATATATTGATACTATCTCTTTTCTCGAGTTATATAAACCCCTACTTATTTACTGAAAAGAAATGTCATACTTTTCAATGATTTATTTCCTTTCTGTAATCAAAGGCATTTTAGGAAAAGCCAGGAAAATGAGAGAGAACAGAATGATGCACCACACACCGTGTGTAGGTGCTCAGTAAATGGTATTTTATGTTGATAAGGAGGAGGAAGAGAAAAAGACTGGGGGGAGTGTGCTTCCAAGTACATTCGTTTTCTTAATTTATGCTGCAAGACAGAATTATTTAGTCACACCTCTGCATTTAATGTAAAATCAGCGATGAGGCAATCTCTAAAATGTAAATCAGGCAGAAGAGAATAAGTACTAAGATCTACTTATTAACCAGTTTCTTGGTGAGCAGAGAAGAAAATACTCTTTTACGTTTCATGATGAATGTGTTTTAGAAATTCAGAGGGTTAGAGATTTTTTTTCATGCCCCAGGGCATGTCAGTGTGATTGTCTTTTTAGTTACCAATTGTCAAGTGCCTACTGTGTGCGAGCAATATATTTAATCTTCCAGGTAATATTACCACCACTATTTTGTAGATGAGGAATAAAATCAATGTCTTACACGTGTCTAATGGCTTATAAGCAAAAGAGGCAAAAATTAATAGCTGTAATTCCAGAGCCTGAGTGGAAGTAAATGTTTTCTTAAATCCGAGAGGCAGTGTTCCCTCGTGATTTAGAGAGCATGAACCCCAGTGCCAGACTGCCTGCACCTGAACCCTGACTCTGCCCTTTACTAGCTGGATGACCTTGGGCAAGTTACTTAACTTCTCTGCCCTTCAATTTGCTCATCTGTAAAGCTGGCTGCTTTCATGATTAAATAATTTAGTATACCTAAGGCAGTCAGGTCATTTAGTGCCTGCCATCAAGTAAGCACTATATAATCATCAGCTATTATTATTATTTCTTCCCCAAGATCTATTCCCTCTTTTAGAAAAAAAAATCCACATTTTCCTTTGGGGAACATTTCCCCACTACTTTTAGTCTGTATGGTTTAAATGGTATAACTCCACCCTAGATCCTGACATAAATATATGTTCCAAGCCTTCTAACCAGAGTAATGAAGCTCTATCATCACTTGTTCAAGAATGGACTTAAGACACAAGTTAGTCCAACGAAATTTTTGGAGAACTCTTTGGGAAAAAAAGAAGCTCTTTCAATTGGATTGAGAGCTGTCAGAACTTAAACATGGAGTTTCCAGGAGCCACCTTCTAGAAAAAGAATGCTTAAGAGTGGATCCCACGTAGGACAAAGCATAAATAAACGACAGAGAAGGAGAGAAACAAATCTAAAGGCAACATTTAAGCCCTTCGATCCAGCTCTGATTGACAAAAATCTACCCATGAACTTTAAAGGTAAATAAGCCAAGTTTACTCTTTGCTTAAGTCAGTTTGACTTGGTCTCTATAACTTCCCTGCTGAAACAAATTAGGACAAAATCACAAGCGGCGTTAAATTTGGTTACGTACCATGTATCATTTGGTCCCTCCCTCCGCTTATTTCCGTCCACTATACAGAGGAGAAAGCTGGGGGCTTGAGAAATTAAGTAAATTTTCTGATTTTATATATGGATCGATTGATTTACATATTACTTTTTTTTTAAAGTATCTAAGGTGGATTATCCACATGCAAGTAGAATTAAGAAAAATTTCACGTACGCTGTTTGAATTCTCTTGCTATGCTGAGAGATCAAGTGGTCAAGTCTCCAATCTTTCCCTAAAAAGAAAAAAGAAAAGAAAAGAAAAGAAAAGAAAGAAATATCCTGACAGAGAGTTTGGCCTGATCATTAAACTAAATTATCATAAAATTCAAGGATTTTTTTCTTTCTCCTGCAAGCTGTCATGAAATTGCACCCCTCTCTTCCTCTTTTGTATCCATTAAATGAAGAATTATCATGGGGCAGAGACTAGCAGCCCAGGTATTAAGCACACACTTAGCACTTGACCTTGACATATAGACTCTCTGGCTCCACAGAAATGAGGCTTTTGGAAGCACAATTTCAGACGCCAATTTAAAATTCCAAATGCTATTGAAGTAAGAATTTATTTGCACTATTACTCCTTAGTATTACTAGATGTGAGGAAGATGAATTAAATGTGAACTGTCTGATTCCTGGCCAGACTGCAAGTCTATAACATGACAGGAAATTTTTGGTCATTACACTATCTCCTATACCAGTGAACTATTTCTGACACAATCCGGTGATAACATTCATGTCCACACCCTAAGAAAATGATCTTTTTTGTCCATTTGAAAGCACCTCACATAATTTATGGTACAACGTACCAGGCACCACCATGAAAATAATTCCCTGTAACTTCAGACTTCAGGTGCAACTAATATTGTTTAATTTCCTAACATCCTCTACCTGCAACTGACAAGCCACACCAGTTCCAGTGATCAAATGCTAGAAAAGAAGCAGATAAACTAAGAGAGATAAGAAGGTTATTAATAGCTGCAGAATTAGACAGCCTTGCTGAATAAAAGGATGGAGTTGGCAGTTTCATAATTGCCTCTGACTGATTGATATGACAAATGTTAACAAAGGCAGATGATATACGGCAGAGCTCCAAACAGCAATAAGGTAAACACACATCAAAACACAAGAGCAGACATTCTTTTTTTATTCTTTTATAATTTTAGCTTAATCTTTGAAAGCTTATCCGATTTACTGACCTCCGTGTCTTGATTTTTCTTCTCTAGAGACAGGAGTTTAGCTTGAGCTATGGGACTCATGCGGGGCTGGAAAGAGGGTCTCTTGCCCAGAGCAGTGGGTTCTCTCATGCTAAGGATCCCATGGACCCAACAGTTAAAATACAAGGTAGAGAAAGCCGAAGTTAATGAGCTAAGGACAAAGAGACCAACATGAATCTGTAACTCAACAGGAAATCTCAAGCAGAAATTGAGTCTTGAAGCACAGAACCAAGGGTAGAAGGGACAGGAAGATGACGTAGGGGACTCTGAGTAAATGCAAACCAGGAGATTATGTAAGTGAATTCTGAAACAGGAGCCTTTGGCCTCTGCTGTCCCGAAGGCCTAAGGCCGTCACGACAGGGCCTTAATGTTTAAAAGGCCGAAGAGTCAGAGGACACAAATTTGAACTAAGGATACCCTGTAATCTCCAAGCTGAAGCGCCAATGGAAGATCATTCAGAGCAGGGAAATTTTTAAATAATTACCAGAATTAGTGCCTCAGTTATTCATCCATGAAATATAAAACAGTGAATGAAGAATATGCTTTGGAATTCTGCAAGTCTTAGGAGGAGGTCCTGACTCTTTCTCTGACTTTGAGTGCTGTGGTTAGTTACTTTGCTTATCTAACATGAAGCCTCCTGAAAATAAAATTAGTGCTTACCTCATGAGGTTTTAAGAAAAATAAATAACACAATCCCCAGAAAGTGCTGAACATGTTTCCCATTACATAGAAAGTGCTACGTACTTTTTTTTTAAAGAAGAGCTTCCTTCAGGTAAAACTGACCCATGACAAACTACACATATTTAAGCTGCACAATATGATAAGTTTTAACATTTATGTGTACATTTGTTGAACCATCTCCATAATTCAGAAAATAAACATGTCCATCACCCCTCAAGTTCTCTTGTGCTCCTTTCTCTACTTCTTTCCTTCTGCTTTTCCCAATATCACCCCGCTAACATCCCAAGAAACAACTGATTTTGTCACTATAGATTATTTTTATTGTTTATAAATTAGATAGATAGATAGGTAGATATACTATGTACTCTTTTGTTTGAGGAGGAAGAGTCTACCTTATCTCACTCAGTATAATATATTCGAGATTTATTGTGTCAGGAGTCCCAACACCACCACCACCCTTAGGTTTGATGATTTGCTAGGCGAACTCACAGAATTCATATAAACATGCTGGTGGCTATGATTTATTGCAGGAAAAAGCATATGAAGTATAATCAGCCAGGGGAAAGGGACATGAGACGAAGTCCAGAGGAAACCAGACACAAACTTCCAAGAGTCTCCTCCCAGTGAAGTCACACAGGACACAATTAAATCAACCAGCCACAAGTTATGACAACACACATGTACGGTTATCTTCCAGGGAAGCTTATGAGACATTCAGGGGCTGAAGCTTTTACTGGGGGCTGCTCAGGTAGGCAGCCTCTGTCTGGTTTGAGCCAACGTTCTAGATTCTCACAAGAATTGGCATGTGTTTAGCATAAACTATGTTGTTTGCACAAAGAGGTTAGGTACACTGAGTCACTTTTTAACAATTCTGGGAATGGTGGAAACCCTCTCAAAATCCAAGTTCCCAGAAGCCAAACAAAGACCATCCATTTAAGCAGGTCTTTTTAAGGATAGGAGCCTCAAGCCTGCTAGCCTTGCCTCTTTTCTGAATGCTGACTCATGTTGTTGCAGGTATAAGTAGTCCACCCATTTTCATTGCCAAGTAGCACTTCATTATATGTCTTACAACATTTTGTTTACCCGTTCACTTCTTGATAAACAGGTAGGTTGTTTCCAGTTTGAGCCTGTTACAAATAAAGCTGCTATGGACATCCATGACCTAGCTTTTGTGTGGAGCTATCTTTTCACCACTCTTGGGTAAGTACCTAGGAATGAAATAGCAGAGTCACCTGGTAGGTGTATACTGAATGATGTAAGAAACTATCAAACTGTTTTCCAAACTGGCTGTTCCATTTTACATTCCCATCAGCAGTGTATAAAAGCCCCATTTGATCCATATCTTTGTATCTTGATGATCTTCATTCTTCCTCATTTTGATAATCTCCATTCTTCACTTGATATCTTT